AGTTCTGCCTTCTGCCGGCTGCCTCACTTGGAACTAGTCACTTTACCTCTCTGTGTGCTTGTTTGCTACTCAGTATCATGATGGGTGCCTCACAGGCTTGTAGTGAGGAGTGGAAAAGCATCACCTAGGAAAGGGACCCCGTTCCCAGGAGACAGGAAGAACACCTGCTCCCATGGCCCAAATCCCAGTTACTGGTAAGGAAGTTGAGACCCTAAGTGAGTAGATAATTTGCTGAAGAGTGCATATTGGTGAGAGCAGACTAGTCCCTATTTTTGTGACCTGTGTTGGTACTGCCATGCCAGCGACTGCCCAGGAAGACCCCAGCCCATAGGTACAGGGAATTTCAAGCTGGGTAGAGAGTTGGTCTCTCCTACCACCTGCCTTCAGGGTCCCTGTTCATCTGTGGGAAGATGAACGCTGCTGGCTTGAGTTCCCCAGTCTGTCTCCAGGGCCTCAGCAGACTGTGAGAAGAGGCTGCTGCTAAGTCCTTGTTTTCTATGGACTCTTTCCCTGGTTACCTGGAGACCTTGGACCTGCCAGCTGTCTGCCCCTCTTTCCAGTAGTTGCCCTGTGTCCAGTAGTTGGACAGTTACAAGGACAGTCTCTAGGGACCTAGGATAATCCCAGTTCTGCCTCTTTCAAGCTGAAGGACTTAGGACAAGTTACTTAAATTCCCCTGCATCTCAGAGGATGACTTTGTAAAGTGGGGTGTGACATCAGTATCAAGCTCCTCAGGTTGTCTTGAACATTAGTTAGGATGATAAAGGGAAGTCTAGTTCCTGGTATTCTCTGGGCTGTCTCATAAGCAGTGATATGTAATTTTTGTGGACATGCTGCCTTTTCTTTCATAGGGTGCCAGACACCAGAGGGAGGTGGGACTGTCCAGCGACAAATACAGGCATACTCAAACAGCCCAGTGGGATCAGTGGCAACCATGACTTTGATCTTGGAGGGCAGAGTGGAGGGACAAGCTGGTGAGCAGAGGCCACAGTGAGAGTGTAACAGCCATATCAAACCCTTCACAAGATACAAGGCCTTGCAGGGCCCCACCTTTGCTAACCCGCCTGCCGCAGTCTCCGCTCGTTCTGCGGCTCTGGCACAGGTCTCTTGTGCATAGCAGGAACAGTAGTTCCCTCCTCCCACAGTTTTGGGCAGCCCATCCCCAGCTTTCAACTTCACCTGCCTGAGTAAGAACTCTCAGAGCTGAGAGCCTCAAAGACAGAAGGGGCTCCTGTGGAATGAGGCTAGGCCCAAAGCATCAAGCCATGCCTGTGTGCCTATGCATGAGCAGCATTCCTCCCTTTGCCTGGGGAAATCACCTGGCTTGGGACCGGCACAGCATGGCGTCGGGGGAGTTTCCCCTTCTGTCAACCACAGACTTTTTGTAAGCTGCCTCCTGGAACACTAGAGGTGAAGCCCCAGGCGTGGGAGTGAGGATTCCAGGCTTTCCTCTTGGTGTGTTAGAGCTGTTAGCAGATGGCCCCTCCCCAGGGGAAGGAGAGTAGAGGCCTGTTGAAAAAAGGTGAGAGGGCTATTTGGTTGCTCAAAAGAGTGAGCCAGTGTGGGAAGGACACCAGCTTGCAGCTCAAGGCAGACACCCTGGATCAGTTCTCACTAGTCACTGAGCTGCCGAGCAGGGCCAGTCTCCTCAATCAATCCTTGCTGACAGATGGTAGCGGAATCAGTGACCTAGAGGCAGAAGGCTCCATTTGTAATCCCAGAGTGGCCCACGTTTCTAGAGGAAGGCTGAGGAGTTTGTAATAAAAGGAGTGACACAGTGTTTCCAAGCCAGAGGAGGAGAGAACCGGATTAGTTTTGCCTCGGAAATTGTAGTGATTCCGTTCAGTAGGTGTTTTGGAGTGGACTGGGTTAGGGGATCAGGGGGCGGGGAGAGAAACAGCTCATTTACTTTGCTTTCTTTAAAAGACTACAAAGTGTAGAAGAAAAACGGAGATGGATACATTTGAGACAAGGGATACAAGAGGTTGGAGCAGGGCTGTGATCCCAGCACTCCAGAGGCTGAGTCAGGAGGTTCATGACGTGAGGCCGTCCTGGGTTGCATAGTGCGACCCTGTCTCAAAGAACAAACATGCAAACAAAACAATAGGACTCCTACCCCATGGGTTCTGAGTTGTAGGACTTTGGGCAGTAAATTAATTTCTCTGAGCTTCATCCATTGGGCTGTTGTACTGGCCTCAAACTTGCAGCCGCCCGAGTGCTGGGACTGCAGGTGTGCACCACCATGCCTGTCCCGGGGGCTGGAGTTAATTGTGTCTGGTACTGCGTGCTTTCTCCCTGCAGCTATCTTTAGATACTCACAATACTATAAGCGAGGTAACGTTAGGGGGTCAGGTCTGGCACCCAGAGAGGCGAAAATGAGTTGTCTACAGCCACACATGGCACGTGAGTACTAACATCTGCCTGCTGGTCGTTACTCCAGTGAATGTTTTCCCTCTGCGTGATACTACAAAGGCACGTGGTAGGCTGCCAGGGGCTAGAAGGGCTCCAGCAGATCTGGCTGTAGGTGGGGGCAAGTTTCCATGGAGTGGTCAACTGGACAGTGTTCTGTTAGGGCCTGAAAGAGTAGGAGGGGGCTACCTCAGGAAAGGAGGCAGGCACTGGGCCCAGGGTTTCTCTGCATTCTTTTCCTAGTGAGCTCTGTGCTATCCCCTATCCCCTTGAGGAAAGAAGGGAGAAATGGTGGCAGGAGTGGGAGAAAATGGGCGTCCCTTTTCATGAATTGGCTCGAGAAGCTGGAGATACCCACAACACTTAGTCTTCAAGAAGGCACATCTATGTTCTTCATTTGGCAGAGGGTGGGGTGGGGTAGGATGGGGGGTGGGAGGGTTGCTGAAAACTTTAGGTATGCTTTGAGTCCCTCCCACCTTTTTCTCTGCAGTCCTGACACTAGCTGAAGCCAGGTTTTGGTTTCTTAAAAGCCTTAATGCCTGAGAATTTGAAAATGAAACTCACAGTTAGAACAATGGGGACAGCCAGAGGGCAGGGCCTGGCAGCCTATTTGGGTGCTCCGGAAGGGCTTGGCACTTTGCCTGTTGTGAAAGAGGTGTGGGGGAATCAAATCCCCAGGGATAGTCCCAGCCTGCACTGGAATCAGCCTCTACTTGGTGAGATGGGACAGAAGCCAGGGGAAATCATTGCCTTCTCCACCACATCCTCCTGCCAGGGGCCTCAGAACCACTTCAGGCCCTGCCTGGGATCCCCAGACCCTCTGTGGGTGGCCTGAATCAAGTGAAAGTGTTAACTGCTCTGACTAGGTAGAATGAAAGGTCAAAGGGTAAAGCCAGACTTCAGGGAGACTCCAGATATGTGAAAGCTGGGCCTCCAGGCCACAGCTGATTCCTGTCAGCCCCTCATCTTACACCCAAAGCACGTTTTGGATCCCAATTCACTCTCAAGTTGGGTTGCTTTAGGAGGGGAAACCACAGACTCCCCAACATTTAGGCAGGGTGCAGGCGTAATTTAGAATCAGTAGTTTTAGGGACACCTAATCGAAACCCTCCTCCTTCTTGTATCTACAGGAAACTGAGGTCCAAAGTGGAGAGGTCTCTGGGTGTGCCAGGATCAGAATGTAAATATCCCAAGCTCATCCCATCCTTATGGGTTTCACTTTGCATGGCAGAGGGTGGGCACAAGGTACCACCCGCTAAGGCAGTGGTCCCGAACTTTGTGGGTCCTGACCCCTTTGTTGTTAGTCGACCCTTTTACAGGGGTTGCCGAAGACCACCAGAAAACAGGTATTTACGGTACTGTTTATGAGAGTAGCAAAATCACAGTCACCAAGTAGCAACGAGATAACTTTATGATTGAAGAACCATGTTAAAGGGTTGCAGCATTAGGAAGGTTGAGAAACAATGATCTATCTACAGGATGGTGGCTCTACAGGAGATTTTTCTTGAGGAAAAGGAAATTTAGTCCTTTGCTCTTTAAAGACATCGGGGATACAAGGGAAGGCTGGTTCGGGCCTGAGGCATGGAAATCTCTTCAGTTCTGGTCCTGCCATCCAGGAGTGCAGAATCTCAGCGCCGCCATTGCAGACTACTAGCATGGACATTGTTATTTTACATGTGAGGTAGGTTGGCTTCCTTTTATGACGGGGAAACTGAGTCTCAGAGACTAAGTTATTTATTCAGGAACTCCCACTAAAACCAGGGTCGGAGACAGCAGGCGCACACCCTACGCTGGCCTGGCGTGCACCACCTGGGTCCCAGCGGACTTCAGGAAAGCTGGAGCTATCCCGGTGACGGCTCAACTAACCATACAAACTGCCACTGGGTCACCGAGGCTGCCAAAGGTGCGACTCCGGTGTCGGAGGCTCAGGGAGAACTCCAGAAATCCCAGGTTCTGTGCCACCAACTCCCCCAGAAAGTTGTTTTGAGGGCACCCCACAAGGTGGCCCCAAGCGAAAGCAGTCCTGGGCGCGTAGTCGCCGACCGCCGAGGGGGGTCTCCTCGCCGTGCCCCTCGACGCCACCGCACGCGGGTGGGCACGCGCGCCGCCCCGCCCCCGGCCCCGCCCCCTCCGCCGGCCCCGCCCCGCCGCGCGCCCTC